TTGACGTATCAATCATTGGTGGTGTGGACGCGCGATCGACAGGCGCATTCTACGAGTATAACAATCTTAGCCAAACATTTTGAAATTTACGTAATGCTTACCTTTACTTTTATTTATTAAAATCTATATCTATACGTATAAATGAAATTGACGTGTCTCACTGTAATATCGAAATAACTGCCTTTTATTAAACCAAAGAGGGTGCCATCAAGATATGAGTAACCATTCTTAAAAAAAAATATTATTAACCTATTGTCTGTCTAGCTGTCTGTACGAGCTAATCTTCGGAATGGTTGAACCGGTTGTATTAAAACTTCACGAAGTGATAGAGATCAATGCAAGGAGTTATCTGGGCTATAACTAATTCAAAAAACTTGGGAGTTCTTTTTTAGAAATCGTAAACTTGATGATTATCTTAAATCTAAATAACCCCAGGTGAAGCCGGGGCGGGTTTCAAGTTAATAAATATAACGACTTAATGACGTATAGTATTATGTCTCCTGAGATACAGGTTCACCTATATTAGTAGGGAATTCACATTTATTTGTAAAACGTTATTAGTGAAAAGCGTTTAACTTATTTGAACTTGTTTATTATTATTATTATTATTATTTATATATCGAGTTTACTAATGTTGCTCTTGTAGGTGGAGAAACCATGCTCCAACTCATTACCTGGTTGTAGGAGGCGACATCTTCACCCATCAGCTCCCTACACCAGGTACGTAATAAATGAAGCATAAAGTACAGTAAACACACCTTACTATAGTCAGCTACTTTTTGTCTTATTGAAAAGGTATAAATATTTTATATCCGTTATTACAACTAACTACCAGGATTTTTACAAGTATACAAGACTTGTTTAAAAATTATTCGGTCAATTTACATCAAACTTTGGGCTTCTGAATTTTTCGTCAAATTTCGTGATTATAAGTTTATATTTACCTGCTACGAAAGTTTTATATTTGATTGTACCCCGTAATTGCTTGATGGTTTTCCTATCAATGTATTTAAACAAGTCGCACAATCCATTAAACTTGATGGTAGTATTGATAGAAATTCATCAGTAGATTAACAAAATTATTCATCAGTACTTTACTTGTCAAGCTGATTGTAATGTTTTATTTTTATTTATTAATAAAAATATACTTCATAGCAGTTTTTTCAAGAAATCCCACTGTTTCTAGTTTGTGTGTGAGTGTATGTATCTGCGTGTGTTACCCATGAAGCTAATACAAAGGAGAGACGGCATAAGCAACTGTGCACTGTGATTCTAAGTAGGTCCTGACGTCATCATATTGGGCGTGGCTTTATTAGTATACTGTCAGCATTCGTCCTGTGCGCTTATGTGTTGAAAAAATCGCTAATCGGTGTATTTTCGTAGAATTAAGAAGAAAAGGATGAAGTATTGTGTTTTATTGTGTAAAAACTACTCAGATAGACGCTCTGATGTTATGGATGGCATCACATTTCATTTGTAAATATTTTTACACCTAATTTATTAAAATAGTTCCAGGAAAGTCTCTTTGCGTCGGCTTTCAAATATAATTAAATATATTCGACACTAGATGGCGACACTTTGTGTCATGTGAACTAAAAATATAAAGGTCCGTAGAGCTCAGTATTGGTAAAATAATCATACGAAGGTGCTGAAATTTGTTTTGCATTCAGACATAAAGAAATTTTAATCACAAAATATTATTTTTATAGTTTATAATCATTTTGAGAACAGGCCGTATTCTCGTTAAGTAAACCTCATAAAAATGACAAAAAGACAGGGCCCTAATTAGAATTCAATTATTTTTCCCAATAATCCAACTTTTAATATTAAATGCAGGAAATTGTACTTAGGCTGATTTTTACGAAATGTTTAAGTTATATTTAAGTGACATTCTATATGCAAAGAATCATTTAAATACAAATTAATATTCTTAGATTGGCATTCAAAAAGTGCATTCGGATGCCTAATTTGGAATAAAATATTTATATTTTAATTGATTTGTAAATAACCTTATATTAATTATAATAATTTGCCTATTATTTGTTCTCCCTCAGACAAATTAAGTAGTGTTAGAAGAGAAGGTCTGACGACGCCGCGCCGGGCTATATAGGCTGGCGTCACTCGCCCCTTTTTGTCGACGGTCATCACGGAGTGCGGAAGCTTTGCTCGAATACTAGCGTCATTATTTTGAACCTTGTTTTAAGCTTTTAAGTTAGTTAATATTTGTTAGGCCAAAGGCCATTAAAATATTTTAAATAAAGTCAATTCGTGTTTCTATTTGTAACATCAGAAGTGGGATCAGAAGGCTGAAAAGCCGCTGTATGCCTATATTTCTGGTTTTATAAAGGAAAACTTAGTTTCCTTTCAGTTGTTTATTTAATATTCGGGCACAGTTTTTGTCTGTGAGATGCCTAGCAACGATAAACGCAACAAACAAAAACGCCGTGGGCAAACTCCTTCGCCCAATCCGATGGAAGAGATCCTGAGGAGGCTACGCGTGCTGGAGGAGCAGCCCCGTGCGTCAGTGGAGACGCAAGCCATTGCAACGACCAGCTCGGGCCCTAGGTGCGCCCTCGAGCTGCCAAACACGACACCATCGGCATCGGCATCGGCATCGGTGTTCGGGATGCCTACACCGCCGCGTGCGCCTGTGCCCTCGCGAGTGGGGACGCCGCCGCTGACTCCGCACACTGGCAACGTGGGATCAACGCAGTCTGAAGACGTGGTGACGAACGCCGTAGAGCGTCTTTTGACCGCTATCGGCAGTACTCAGGTCAGATCTAACCGATATTTTGTCTCTGATTTTGATCCTAATGTTCATGACTTCGACACGTGGTGTGATGAGGTAGAAAGAGCCCGTATTTCGAACCATTGGGACGACAGAGAATGCTTTGCTCGTATTGGACATTGTTTTAAAGGAGAATCTCGCACCTGGCTTAGCCAATGGACGAGCAGTATTCGCACGTGGTCCAATTTCAAATCAGAACTAAAAGCGCTATGCCCACGTTCTGTCGATGTCGCGAACATGCTTTATGATGTAATGAGGACAGGGTCAGATAAATACTCCACATATGCTGAGTATGCTCGTAAATCACTTTTAAGGTTACGCATAGTTAAAGGTCTCAGTAGCGAGCTGCTTACGGCTATTATCATTCGTGGAATTGCAGATCCACAAATTCGTGCTATGGCTGCTAACGCCAAATTATCACCTGACTCTATAGTGGAGTTTTTATCGAGCTTTGTTAAACCTTCTAACAGCCATAATAGGAAAGTGTATTCTAATGGTCTCAATCGATTTGACCGACCCTCTAATAATAGTAACTCGAACCGCAAACCGATAAAACGTCGATATGATTCCGAAGACTTAAAATCAATTAGGTGTTACGAATGTAATCAATTTGGTCATAGGAGTTTTAATTGTAACAAACGGTCGAATACACTCCCGAGTTATAGTAACGAAAAAACAATCGCGTTACCGACGATATCTCGTAGCGATCCGTTAAAGTGTGGGTTTTGCAAAAAGGTAAGTCATTCCGAGGTAACTTGTTTTGCTAAGGAACGCGCAAATTCTCGGAATAATAATGGTGTCAATTTTTGTCGCGAAATCACGGACAGTTATAAAAATCGCGACGTCACGACTGCGGTCATATCGGGAATACCATTAGACGTACTAATCGATAGTGGTTCATGTGTTTCCTTAATGTCAAAAAATGTTGTTAAGCATTTTCCGTGTCAAGTAAAGCCTACGAATCAGTTGCTACGCGGCTTGGGTGGTATGGAAATAAGGTCGGAATCATTTGTAACATTACCCGTCGAGTTTAGCGATATAACGATAGAAATTGATTTTTATGTGGTGGGTGGGAATAATTTGAGTGTGCCAGTCATTATCGGTACAGACGTACTAAACAGGAAAGGTATTACATATGTTAGGACCGGTGATAGCCAACGTATAATTCATAGTGAGGCGACTGTAAACGATATTCTGCAAGTAAATTTGATTTCTTTGTCCGATCAAGTTAATACGTCGGTATTTGGAAATAATAGAGAACGATTACTAGAGATCCTCACCAAGTATTCCGATTTCTTTTTAAGTGGTACCGCGACCACAACGGTGAAAGATAGTGAGATGCATATCAAATTAACAACCGATGTGCCCGTGTACTATAGACCCTACAAATTATCGCATGGCGAAAAATTAAAAGTACGCACTATAGTGAAGGATCTGCTCGATAAAGGAATTATTCGCGAGTCCGATTCAGAATACGCTAGTCCGATCTTGCTCGTAAAAAAGAAGGATGGTTCTGATAGAATGGTCGTTGACTATCGTGCATTGAATCGAATAACCGTTAAAACTAGATATCCTCTCCCCTTGATCAACGACTATATAGACAGGCTAGGCAATGGTCGCTGGTTTAGCTCTCTGGATATGGTTTCCGGTTTCCATCAACTTAGAGTTGCAGAAGAGTCGATTCATAAGACCGCATTCGTTACACCAGAGGCGCAGTATGAATATTGCAAGGTACCCTACGGTTTGGCGAACGCGCCTATATTTTATCAGAAGACTATCTCTAAAACGCTTAAATCTTTTATCGATGCCGGAAAAGTCATGGTCTACATAGATGACGTATTAATAATGACGGTCGGGATTGACGAACACCTCGTTTTATTAGATTCGGTTATGAAAACGCTAACTGAAACAGGTTTTTCAATTAATTTAAAGAAATGTACTTTTGTTACTAACGAAATAGAATACTTGGGTAGGATTATAAGAGATGGTCAGGTTAGACCGAGCAATTATAAAATTGATGCGTTAGTTAAATCACCACGACCGAGTAATATCAAACAGGTTCGCCAATTTCTTGGCCTCGCAGGATACTTCCGAAGATACATTCCTAATTACGCACTAAAGACTGCGCAAATCGCCGCTTTAACTAGAAAAGGAGTAATCTTTAATTGGAGCGATGAACACGAAATTGCACGTCAAAATATCATTTCTTATTTAACTAATGAACCAATTTTGGCAATATTCGACCCCGAATTGACAACTGAGTTGCATACGGATGCCAGTTCTATTGGTTACGGTGGAATCCTCATGCAAGTACACAAGGACGACCGCAGGCGGGTAGTTGATTATTTTAGCAAGTTGACTGCTAGTGCGGAATCCAAGTATCACAGCTATGAGCTGGAGACCCTCGCGGTAGTGAAATCGTTACAACATTTTAGGCAATATTTAATTGGCAAATCATTTGAGATAGTCACAGACTGTAATGCATTAAAAATGACACAACGTAAGAAGGATCTCCAACCCAGAGTTGCAAGATGGTGGATATACATGCAGGACTTCGACTTCTCATTAGAATACCGTAAAGGCACGCTTATGTCGCACGTAGACTACTTAAGTAGGAACCCGGTTAATATGATTAGCATTGTTCAAAAACCACGAAATTGGGCCCAAGTGGCACAGGCAGGTGACGAGGAGACATTAACGTTACTTGAAAAATTAAATAACGGTAAATTAGACAACACGCGTTACGTGAAATGTAATGAACTCTTGTACTATAAGTATGACGTCACGGGTGAGCAAGCGCGATTCTTATGCTATGTACCAAAGGCGTTTCGGTTAAGTTTACTACGCGTTTTCCACGACGAGCATGAACACATCGGTATAGACAAAACTACTGATCTGATCCTGGGACACTTCTGGTTCCCCGGTCTTAGACAGTTTGTCGCGAAATACGTCACGCACTGCGTAGTGTGCATCGCGCATAAGCAAGTTCCTCGCGCACCCTTGCAACCAATATCTTCTTGGGAAAAGGCTCCGGTACCATTCGAAACAATACACGTGGATGTACTCGGACCACTGAGGGAAAGTGATGGCCATAAACATGTGCTTATCATAATTGACGCGTATACTAAGTACTGTTTGCTCTATGCCTTACCAAGGCAAGACTGTAGCGAGTTAAAGCGCGTAATGACCCAAATCATTTCTCTGTTCGGTACTTTTAAAAGACTAGTGTGTGATAGAAGTCGTATGTTCGATAACCATGAGTTTATTAATTGGATTTCTAATTATGGAGTTGAAGTGCATTTCATTACTCCCGAAATGCATCAAGAAAATGGACAAGTGGAACGCTATTGCCGTACAGTGTTAAACATGATTAGAGTTGAAGTAAATTATAATGAAAATGATTGGTCGAAGATATTATGGAAACTGCAATTAGTTTTAAACGTCACTAAACATAGGACAACTCAATATTCAGCACTAAATCTTCTTATTGGCACTAATTCCACTACACCTCTAATAAACGCCTTAATCAAAGATATAACTTGTGAAGGTTCAAATCCAAATCGTGGTGCAATTCGTGAGATTAGACGGCAACGTGCAGAAGGACTTATTCGCGAAAACAAAGAGAAACAAGACTCTTATGTTAACAAAAATAGGAAATCGCCTAAAAAGTTTGAAGTTAATGATTTGGTCTATGTGATTAAGAGCTCTCAAAGCACCGGAAAACTTGATAGCGGTATGAGAGGCCCTTATAAAGTAACTAAGCTTCTTCTTAACGATAGATATGAGGTTCAATTGTTAGCCGGCGCTTACGGAAAGACTAGTCAGGCAGCTGCAGCATACATGGTGTTATGGATGGGTGAATGGACACCCGAAACATGTGCTGCATTTTTTGAAGGTACTAGTAGTACGATTGCTGTTATATTTGCTTTGTTATTTTACATACCTAATAACCCCTCATCTGTCAACAGGCCTCTGGAATATTGGAGTAAACAAAGGCGCATATTATGTCAAGTGCCTTGTGGAGCTCGATCAGTTTCCACGTATTTCTATATTTTTTGCTATATTTCTTATCCAAAAGTTAAAACTATGTTTGTGATAAGAATGTGAACCCAAACGGGACATAAATTATTACATAAACCACTTAATTTGCAGTATTCTCGACTCTCGACTTAAACTCACCCAAAACTTACCTTATCGGGTCATTTAAGTGAGGCATGTTATCGTAGAGCTTGTGAAAAAAAAAATGTGTCAAGAGCTATGTTATTTTTATGGATTTATGTTAAATATGTTTTAAGTGGGTAAAGTAAAATATTTGTTGAATAAAGGTTTGCTTTTATGATTGTAACGACTTATGTGTATTGAAGTAGGAGGAGCTCGATTACATCAATTTCAAAATAGAATTGATAATGTGTTACGAAGGGAGCTGTCCTGATTCGTATGTAATTCGTTAGCTTATTTTATAATGACTCAAACGATGTATGCATTGTTTATAGCTCTCATACGGGACTTCTGCAGAAATCGCAAATCTGATTACACGTACCGCGATCGCGCGAGTTCCTTCAGAGGTGCCGCGGCGAATGCGCTTGGTCGTGTGTTGGTGCTGTGACAATCGAGAAGATAATCTTTCCCTATTCTTGAGCTAGATTATGTACCAAACAAGCCCGTGTTTATTGATTTTGACTACGTTACGTGTTGTGTTCAGTGGAAGAGACCCGTATAAATCCTGTGCGCATGGTATTGGGTTGACCCTGACACTGGTGGTTTCTGGGGTGAGTCGGTGGCGCAGCCGACAACAGACCTGTGTAAATCCAGCCATTATTAGGTATCTGGGGTGACCTGCTAGAGACTGATGTAAATCCTGTTTGCACACGCGAGTATGTGCGGGGTATTCGGTTGCGTGGGAAGAGACCTGTGTAAAACCTATGTGACTTGAAACGCTTTTGTGTGGCGTTGATAACTGTTCATGTTGACTGTTTTAACTGACTAACTTGTTTGGCTAATTGGGTACATAATCTGACGCTTTTATGAACTATATGAATTTTGATCAACTGTTAATACGCGATATAAATAAGTGTCTCTTAGATTGTGTGTATCTTCTCAGAGATCGACGATGGTGACGTCGAACAACCGCGGGACGCGGTGAGTGTTGCTGAGCCATCCACGAGTTCCTGCTGAGGGCTTCGAGCACGCAGCCCCGTCAGGAGAGGCCGTGTTAGAAGAGAAGGTCTGACGACGCCGCGCCGGGCTATATAGGAGGGCGGCTGGCGTCACTCGCCCCTTTTTGCCGACGGTCATCACGGAGTGCGGAAGCTTTGCTCGAATACTAGCGTCATTATTTTGAACCTTGTTTTAAGCTTTTAAGTTAGTTAATATTTGTTAGGCCAAAGGCCATTAAAATATTTTAAATAAAGTCAATTCGTGTTTCTATTTGTAACAGTAGTATAACCCACACATAAATAATAGTCCAGCCGTTTCTGCGTGAAAAAATTACACATACTTAGTGTGGAATAAGCTCAAGAAGACAGAAAGAACACACAAAATTTCGCCTTTATAATATTAGTGAGATAAGTAGGATATTTAGTTCCAAATTCAATATCCTAGTTCCGTATGTCATCACTGGCAACACGCACTGGGTGTACAGTCTCGTTTTTAAGTTTTGAGGTATACCTGACGAGAAGATATGCCGTAATTTCCCGAACGCTGCCCAACCGAGTTGAATCCGTCGATTGACCTCTCGGTCGTAGTTTGACTTATCTAATCGGACTATATGTCCCAGGTAAACATACTCGTCAACAACTTCGAGCTTAGTGTTCCCAACAACTACCGGCATAGGTGTGACATGGACATTAAACATGATCTTTGTTTTGTCCATGTTCATCTTAAGACCTATCCGTTGGGAAACACTATTGAGGTCATTGAGCATAGTGCTTAGGTCCTCCAGCGATTCTGCCATAAGGACTATATCGTCGGCAAATCGAAGGTGAGTGATGTACTCGCCATTGATGTTGATACCGTATCCTTTCCAGTCCAGAAGCTTGAAAACATCTTCCAATGCAGCGGTAAAGAGTTTCGGGGATATGACGTCACCCTGTCTTACACCTCTCTGCAATTGGATAGGTTTCGTACTCTGGTTCTGTACTCGGATAGCCATCGTAGCCCTACTGTACAAGCACTTCAACACTTCGATATACCGACAGTCAACTTGGCATCGCTGAAGGGACTGCAGCACCGCCCAAATTTCGACGGAATCAAAGGCTTTCTCATAGTCCACATACGCCAGACATAGTGGCAAATTGTACTCCTCGGAATTCTGTACAATTTGCCGAAGGGTATGTATGTGTTCTATGGTGCTAAAGCCTTTTCGGAAACCGGCTTGTTTTCGGGAGGAAACGGTGGTAGAGCCACGCAGCAGTTTTTGCTGTTGCATGTATGGGCCGGCTCGAGCCGGGTTGGTACCACGACCTCACAGAATACCGGCGTGAAGTAGAAGCTTTGCTTCTGCGTTTCGTCTGGTGAGTGCAGGTGGCCGGAGGCCCAATTCCCCCCCCCCCCCCCCCATCAACATGGTAGCGGAATTACACGAAGAACTACCCCAGGAGGGTACCAGCACCCCTGGAGAATCCCTCGCTGAGCATCCACGACCATGTTATTCCGATCCTGAGCGTGGGTGCTCAGGCTGCCCCGCTTATTCTGGGGGGGGGGGGCAAAATTCCGCTCAAAAGCATTACTGCTAGGGGCAAACTGAGCAAGAACACCAAGGCGACCCCTGCCACGCTATCCGTGAATTTCTGCAACATCAGGGGACTTCACTCTAACCTAAACGCCGTCCACTACCATCTCGAGACGGCAAAGCCGGCCTTGCTCTTTCTGACCGAGACGCAGGTTTCCTCTCCGGCTGATATTTCGTATCTCTCCTACCCGGGGTACAAATTGGAGCATTCCTTTGTGCCTCGGGCTGGAGTTTGCGTGTATATCAGAGAGGACATCTGTTCTCGTCGCCTCGGCATTCTTGAAGGTTCGGACCTGTCCATCCTTTGGCTACGCGTAGACAGCGACGACCATCCGCGCGTCTACGGGTGCCTCTATAGGTCCCATAGCGGTAATGCCGAAACAGACCGACTCATCGACCACGTCCAAATGGCTACAGATTTCTTGCTACAACAGGTCCCATCCGCAGAGATCGTGATTCTTGGCGATTTTAACGCCCACCATGCCGGATGGCTCGGTTCACGTCTAACCGATCATGCGGGGAGATCTGTTTATGACTTTGCCTTGGCATATGGTCTGACACAACTGGTTACTTCGCCTACGCGGATTCCAGATGTGGAAGATCATACACCTTCCCTGTTGGACCTTCTGCTGACCTCTCATCCGGACGGATATAAGGTTTCCGTCGATGCCCCTCTCGGCTCTTCGGACCATTGTCTGATCCGGAGTGTGGTGCCACTCACGCTCCCTTCGCGGTTGCGTTCTGCAGGTTGCCGCCGTGTTTGGCATTACAGGTCGGCGGATTGGGACGGAATGCGGTCCTTCTTTGCATCCTACCCATGGGGGCGGGTTTGCTTCTCGCCGGATGATCCCAGCGCTGTTGCTGACTCTGTCACTGATGTGGTACTACAGGGAATGGAACTATTTATTCCATCATCTGTGGTATCCATCGAAGGCAGATCTCAGCCTTGGTTTGGTCGCTCCTGTAAGACTGCATTACGCAGTAAGCAGGAGTGTTATCAAGCCTGGGCTGCGGCTTCGGCGACTCGGGATGTAAATACCAGCACACTTAAAAAGAAGTATAACTTCGCCTCCAGGTCCTTCAAAAGAGTTATTGCCAAGGCAAAGTCAGAGCACATAGGCAGAATTGGCGAGAAACTAGTTCGCCTTCCTTCGGGAACCCGTGCATTCTGGTCTCTCGCCAAGGCTGTCCAAGGGAATTTCTGTAAGCCATCACTACCATCTCTGCACAGGGAGGATGACTCACTGGCCCATGCCGCAAAAGACAAATTCGACCTTTTAGGCTCCCTTTTTGCGTCCAACTCGACTCTTGATGACGGGGGGAAAACACCGCCGACCATCCCGCGGTGTGAGTGCTCCATGCTGGATGTGCTGTTCTCACAGCGCTCGGTTCGCAAAGCACTGCTCTCCCTGGACATCCAGAAGTCGAGTGGGCCTGACGGAATCCCCCCAATTGTGCTGAGGACGTGTGCTCCGGAGTTGGCACCGGTCCTAAGGCGTCTTTTCCGGTACTCCTACTCCCAAGGCGTAGTCCCGAATTCATGGAAGACAGCTTTTGTCCACCCGATCCCTAAAAAAGGCGACCGCTCAGACCCATCCAACTATAGGCCTATCGCGCTCACCTCCTTGTTCTCCAAAATAATGGAATCCATTATTAACTGCCAGCTCATCCGGTACCTTGAGGATCACCAGCTGATTATTGACCGCCAATACGGTTTTCGTCGGGGTCGATCAGCTGGTGATCTTCTGGTCTACCTGACCCATAGATGGGCGGAGGCAGTAGAGTCCAAGGGGGAGGCGTTGGCCGTTAGTCTGGACATTGCGAAGGCCTTCGATCGGGTTTGGCACAAAGCGCTTCTTTCGAAGCTTCCTTCCTATGGGCTTCCCGAGAAATTGTGCACTTGGATCACCAGCTTCCTTGCAGATCGGAGCATCAAGGTCGTTGTAGACGGTGCATGCTCTGACTACAAGCCTATTAACGCTGGTGTTCCACAAGACTGTGTGCTATCACCAACGCTGTTTCTTCTGCATATCAATGATATGTTGCTAACTGGTAACATTCATTGCTATGCGGATGACAGCACTGGTGATGCTCTATACACCGGCCGTGCCAATATTTCTCGGGAAAACGTCGCTGAGTACCGGAACAAACTTGTGTCTGAAGTCGAGTCTTTGCTGAACAAAGTCTCGGATTGGGGGCGACTAAATCTAGTCCAATTTAATCCTCAGAAGACACAAGTTTGCGCGTTTACCGCTAAAAAGAACCCCTTTGTCGTATCTCCTCAGTTTCAAGGCACTCCCCTTCTTACCTCAGCCAGTATCGGTATCCTCGGAGTCGACATATCGAGTGACGTGCAGTTTCGTGGTCACTTGGAAGAGAAGGCCAAATTGGCCTCTAAAAAGCTTGGCGTGCTCAGCAGAGCGGGACAGTATTTCATGCCGGCACACCGCCTGCAACTTTACAAGGCGCAGGTTCGGCCTCACATGGAATACTGTTCCCATCTCTGGGCAGGGGCTCCCCAGTGCCAGCTCCTTCCACTTGACCGCATCCAACGCAGAGCGGCTCGAATTGTCGACGACCGAGCCCTTTCCGATCGGCTCGATTCATTGGCACTGCGAAGAGATGTTGCATCCCTTTGCATTTTCTTTCGCATCTACCATGGGGAGTGCTCTGAGGAATTGTTCGGATTAATCCCAGCCGCCAAATTTCACGAACGCACATCGCGGCAGAACTCCCGATACCATCCACACCATCTGGATGATTGGCGGTCCACCACTGTGCGATTTAGAAGATGTTTTCTTCCTCGCACGACCTCCTTGTGGAATCGATTACCATCAGCGATTTTTCCGGACCGATACGACTTAGGGACCTTCAAGAAAAGAGCGTACTCCTTTTTAAAAGGCCGGCAACGCATCTGCAATTCCCCTGGTGTTGCAGTTGTTCATGGGCGGCAGTAGTCACTTACCATCAGGTGAGCCGCATGCTCGCCTGCCTCCTCTCCTATAAAAAAAAAAAAAAAGGCTGGAAGTCGTCAAGTCTGCGCGCGAGACGATTCGTAATGACTCTCGAAAACAGCACTGGCCAGATGAGGAAGCTCAAGGTCGCTCAGCGAGCTATGGAGAGGGCTATGCTCGGAGTTTCTCTGCGTGATAAACTTAGAAATGAGGATATCCGCAGTAGAACTAGAGTGACCGACATAGCCCAACGGATTAGTAAGCTGAAGTGGCAATGGGCCGGCCATATAGCTCGAAGAACCGACAACCGATGGGGAAGAAAGGTTCTCGAGTGGCAGCCTCGTACCGGCAGGCGAAGTGTAGGGCGTCCCCCCACTAGATGGAGTGACGACCTGGTAAGATATGCAGGAAGTCGATGGATGCAGGTGGCTCAGGACCGTGCTTTGTGGCATTCCTTGGGGGAGGCCTATGTTCAGCAGTGGACTTGTGAA